CCCCAACTGCCCCCCCTTCGGCCTGCTTGCCCCCAACTGCCCCCCCCTGCCAGCCTGATCACCCCCAACTGCCCCCCCCTCCTGGCTTGATCACCCTTAACCACCTCTGCCTCAGCCCCGCCACCATGGCTTTGTCCAGAAGGACATCCGCAAGGTCTCCAGGTCTTATTATCATATTACACTTTTATTAGTATAGATCAGCGGTTCTGAACCTGTGGGTCTCGACCCCTTTTGCGGTCGAACGACCCTTTCACAGGGGTCACCTAATACCATCCTGCGTATCAGATATTTACATTATGATTGATAACAGTAGTTACATTACAGTTATGAAGTAGCAAAGAAAATAATTTTATTGTTGGTTCACAACATGAGGAACTGTATTTAAAGGGCCAGAAGGCTGAGAACCACTGGTACAAATGAAAGAAAAAGAATTATAATAAACACTCCAATTTGCAACCAGAATGATCTTTAAAAACAAATCTAATCATATTATTCCCCTGCTTAAAACATGTCAATGACTTCCAACATACTTAAAATAAAGAGTTAGGATCTTTCATAATCTGGAAAAATCAACTCACCAACATCTTCAACATATTTCAGCCACACGGGCCCTTTTCAAGTTCCTCAAATGCTCTATGCTCCTCACATCAAAATATTCCAACATGCTGCTCCTTCTTCCTGGAACACCCCCTCCCACACCCATGACCACTACCTTTTCAGACACCAAAATTATTTCCTTAGGAAAGAATTCTGTGAACATTCCCAACCCATATGTAGATTTCATAGCTTCCTATGCTTAGCCTGTAGAGTCCTTATCACAAGTATAATTAATTAATTATCTGTTGGATGTTTGTCTTCCCCAAATAGATTGGAAACTATAAAAGCTGCATCTTGCCTGTCTTGTTCAATGCTATATCCCAGCAACTGGCCCCAACAACTAGCACAGAGTAGATTTCAATTCGTTGAAATAACGAATAAATATGTACTGAGTTATATACTATGCCATTTTAAGTCCTAAACAAAGGGTCACAGTCCTTGCCATTAAATAAATACCCCAGATGAATATAAATATGTAAGTAAAAATGCTTGTTACTTCATCCAATCAAAGATTTATACATGTATCCATGCAGGTACTAAGGGATTTATCATTTACTCAATGTCAAGAGATCACTAAACTGATTCAGGAGGGCTCAATTACCCCATTCCATTAAAATCTAAGTTCCTGCTCTCAACTGCCTGGTAAATAGAAGGCACTCAATAATCTTTGTTTGAATGATTCCAAGAGTGCAGAATTAGCCATGAAGTTCTTTAATTGCATGCTTTTGGAAATAAAAAAAAACATTTCTACTGATGTATGAGTATATGAGTATAAAATAAGTAATATTCCCCCCCTTAACAAAAAGAGACAAAAGGGTGTATGCCCAATTATAACTTCAAAAAAAACTGAAAGGAAAAAAAAAAAAAGGGACCAAAAGGGAAATAATGGTTCAAAACCCTATTTTTCCCCACCATCAAATTAGTATTTTTTAAAGGATTTCTTGACCTGTTCAAAGCTAGGATAAATTACACACTGTTGGTTACTGGTGACAGAATCCTCCCCCTGCTCTTTCTTCTAGGAATAAAATCTCCAAAATGATAACAGTTAAGGATACAGAATAAAGTTATTTTACAGAATACAGCGAGACTGATGGTCACAGTTTCCCTCAGCTAATGATTGTACAATGAAGCTCTAAGACATGATGTACAAGCTTACTTAT